AACCTCAAAGAAAAATGATAAACCTTCACATCAAAAAAGAGGACCAGCATAAATATTCAGCAAATACTAAAACAATAGCAATGAAGGAAGTGATAACACGATTCATAAACAAAACAAGCTCAGCATAGAAAATTATATGGAACAAAGAAATTGACACCATGAAAATGTACATAACAAAAACGACAGCAATAAATTCATAACTGTCAATAATTACATATCTGGTGAGGGACGTATCTCTAAGATTTATAGCGGAAGAGTGGATGACCAAGCTATGGTACATACACATAATGGAATGCTATGCAGCACTAAAGAGTAATGTAGAGTCTGCAAAACACCGCAAAATATGGATGAGCTTGGAGACATTATGCTGAGTGAAATAAGTCAATCACAGAAGGGACAAATATAGTATTAGTTCGTTGTTGTGGAGGGACAAGGAAAGGTTTATATATGGAGGGAAACTTTCTTTGTTGGCTTCCAGGGGTGGGAGGGGAGGAGAAGGAACACTACAAAAAAAAAAAAAAAAAATGCACTGACCCATGTAACTTTATTTTTGTGTATTTCACTGCACATAAATTATATTTCAATAAAGTGCATTAAAAAAAGGAAAGAAGGAAAAAAAAATTTTGAAACCCCTACTGGAATAATGCATCTAAGAAATAATCATTAATAGCTTCTAAAACTTTTAGGTGAAAAGTTAGTAGGGAACTTTATAATGGATGGATCAAGTTGACAACACTTGAACCTAATGACCAATCTTAACATCACAAAAAGAGAGAAGCCAGACAATATGTGCTTCTGATATGACACAACAGTAACTATACAATAACTCCAATAAATATATTTACTTTTTCCTCAAATTTTATTTATCCTTGATACTTTCTATAGTAAAAGGTTAAATAAAAGAAAAAAAAGATTGGAGTCACCAGGTATAAATAAGTCTCAAGTTTTTTTCTGTATAGGGGAACAGAGATTTGGTATAGGGAGATGGGTGTTTCAAGCTTTTCATTAAAATAATAGACAAATTCATAAGTGTAAAAATACATACCTTGTAGCTCGCAGATTTAATCCCATCAGGAACCTCATCCTGAAAAACAAAATAAAATAGTTTTTAATGATGACATTTATTTATCATCTGGAAAATATTTTATTTTTATTAAATAAAATATTTTAATTGTATTAAAATTAATGAAACAAATGATTAAAGTTATTAGAGGATGGTTAGGCAGTTTTTATACCAATTTCTTAAAAGTAAAAATTCAACACCAAATTATTCCATGGATTATTAACAAAGTGTATTTTGTTATTGCACAGAAATATAAATATAGTCACTTACCATTATTACTTTTGATGCTCAAATTGCCCCACATTTAATCACTAAGAGCTAAATACCTATGTCCTTTTGATATCATCTCAGTCTTTACTAGCTCTGGTAGTAAGGTCAGCAGTTCAAACCCACTGCAGAAGGAATATGGGGTGATCTACTTCCATAAAGATTTATAGCCTTGGAAACCCAATGGGGGTTGCTGTGAGTTGGAATCAACGCAATGGCAGTGAGTTCAGGTTGGTTTTTTTTTTGTAGCTTTTTGTTCTTTCTTCTATGACAAGATAAGATAATCGCAGTTCATCTTATTTACCTCAGCCTTGGAATCATTTCTTTTAAGGAGCCCTAGTTCTTTTCAGGGAGCTCTGGTAGCACAGTGGCTAAGACACTTGCCTGCTAACCAGACGGCTGGCGGTTCAAACCCACCAGCCACTCCTCGGAAGGAAGGTTGGGCAATCCTACTTCCGTAGTGATACTGCCTCGGAAACCCAAGGAGGGGTCGCTATGAGTCGGGTTTGACTTGACAGCACATAACAACAACAACAAGTTCTTTTCAGAGGAAAATGGTGCTGATTTTTAATCATGCTTTGTTCCCTTGCTTGCTACAGGGACTAGCAAAAGTAACCCAGATGCACATATATGCCTATCTTCAAAGTGATACTGTGAGTAGAAATGATGATGTATATAATAGGACTCGGTAAATTACAGAGCTCTGGTAGTATAATGGTTAAGGCATTTGGCTGCTAACCAGGTCACATGCTCAAACCCACGGAAGAAATATGATGCATTCTGTAAACATTTACAGCCTTGAAAACCCAAAAAGGGTCGCTATGAGCTGAAATCAATTTGATGGCAGTGAGAGTGGGTTATTTGGAGTTTTATTCCAATATTAAGTATACTGCCGTAATAGATTATGCATGCATTAAAAGAAGGACCCACACAGAGATAATCACTGTGTGTACCCTTCCAGATTTTTGGCCTAGGTCAATCAATGTATATTCTTTTTCTATGGCCAAACATTTAGATGGGTTTCCAATTTTTTCATAAAATAAACCTTGCCAAATTTATAGATTAATTTCAGAAGAACTGACATCTTTACAATACTCAGTACTACCTTAGGTCATCTTTAAACATTGTTCAATCACTTTATTAAGTGAAATTCCTAGTAAAATTGCTGAGTCAGAGAGTAACTTCTATGTGTTTTGTTGGAGTATTTTCATCAAAAATACAAAATATTGAAAAAAAAGCCTGAGTAATCGAAACAGCATGGTATTAGTTTAATGATAGACAAGTAAATGAATGGAAGAGTATTGAAAATACAGAGATAAATCCAAAAATTTATGGTCAACTGATTTTTCAACATTGGTGCCAAGTCTATTTCATGAGAAAGGAACAGTCTCTTTAACAAATAGTGCTGGCAAAACTGGATTTCTACATACAGAAATATGAAACAAGATGCATACCTTATACCACACACAAAAACTAATTCAAAATGGATTAAGAGCCTAATTATTAAATCTAAAACCATAAAGATCTTGGAAGAAAATATAGGAAGGAGCAAAGCTTTGGGAGCTAATTTTTTTCAATGGCAGATTATCAAACACAACAACAAATATATAAGCAACAGGAAAGAAAATAGATAATTGGGACCTTGTAAAAATTACATACTTAAGGTTCATCGGAAGACTGTATTAAAAGAGTAATGAGACAACCTACAGACTGGAAAAAAATTGAGGGGAATAACATAACTGATAAGGCTCTACTCTCTAAAATATATAGAAAATGTCTACAACTTAATAACAAAAACAACAACCCAATCAAAAACTACACAAAAGACATGAATAGACACTTCACTAAAGAGTACATTCACCACCTCCTACTTTGGCAAGTAGCGACTGGGATCTTAAAAGCTTGCAAGCAGCCATCTAGATGCAACGATGGGTCTCTCCTCGTCCAGAGCAAAGAAGAATGAAGAAAACCAAAAATTCATGGAAACAATTAGTCCTAGTGACTGGTACATGTGATCCGCAGCCTATGTGACTATGAGACCAGAAGAACTAGATGGTACCCGGCTACCACTGTCAACCACTTGGAGGGGGACCTATATAGGAGATCCTGGGTAGAGAGGGAGAACAATGTGGAACAAAACTCAAAATCATTTGGGGGGAAAAAAGAGGGGACCAGGTTTGCTGGTCTGATAGAGCCTGGTGGAACCACTGAGACTATGACCCCTAGCTGCCCTTCAGGTCTGGAATTAAACCCACACCTGTGGCTTCCAGCCAAACAAAAGACAGGCACATGAGTTGAACATTTACCTGAGGTAGATGCATTCCTTGAAGAGAACAATCATGGGAGAAAGAAGGGCTGCTTATGCACAGGGAGACAGCTCAGGGGTTAGAAGTGCATGGAGGGATAGACACAGGGAAGAGGTAACTATCGGGAGGAAGTGGAAGGGGAGCTGTTGCATTGGGGTAAACTGTAGTCAATGTTATGAAACAAAGTGTAGGTGAACTGCTGTATGGAAAATGAATTTGCTCTGTAAATTTTCACCCAAATCACAATTAAAAAAAAAAAAAAAAACTTGGCCAGGAGCTGACTGTGGAACAGACCATCAATTGCACATATGCAAGTTCAAGTTGAAACTGAAGACAATTAAAACAAGTCCATTAGAGCCAATATATGACCTTGATTATATCCCTCCTGAATTTAGAGACCATCTAAAGAATAGATTTGATGCACTGAACACCAATGACCAAAAACCAGATGAATTGTGGAATGACATCAAGAAAATCATCCATGAAGAAAGCAAAGGGTCATGGATGTCAGAAGGGACTGTGAAACTTGCCTTTGAACAGAGAGTAGCTAAAGCAAATGGAAGAATTGATGGAATACCCACTGAGATGTTTAAACAAAAGGATGCCATGCAGGAGGCTCTCGCTCATCTATGCCAACAAATTTGGAAAACAGCACCTGGCCAAGTGACTGGAAGAGATTCATGTTTGTATCCCCCATTCCAAAGAAAGGTGATCCCACAGAATGTGGAAATTATCAAACAATATCATTAATATCACACGCAATTAAAACCTTGCTGAAGATAATTCAAAAATGGTATACTGACAGGGAACTTCCAGAAATGCAAGCCAGATTCAGAATATGATGTAGAATGAGGGATATTATTGCTGATGTCAGATGGATCTTGGCTGAAAGCAAAAGATACCAGAAAGATGTTTACCTTGTTTTATTGACTATGCAAAAGCATTTGATTGTGTGAATCATAACAAATTATGGACAATACTGAGAAAAATGGGAATTCCAGAACACTTAATTGTGCTCATGAGGAAGCTGGACATAGACCAGGCTGTGGTTCAAACAGAACAAGGGGATACTGCATGGTTTAAAATCAGGAAGGGAGTGTGTCAGGGTTGTATCCTTTCACCATACTTATTCCATCTGTATGATAAGCAAATAATCTGAGAAGCTGGACTATATGAAGAACGTGTTATCAGGATTGGAGGAAGAGTCATTAACAACCTGCAATATGCAAACATAACTTTGTTTGCTGAAAGTGAAGATTACTTGAAGAACTTACCAATGAAGATTAAAGACTATAGTTTGCAGCATGGATTACATCTCAACATAAAGAAAATGCAAATCCTCACAACTGGAACAATAAGGAGCATCATGATAAATGGGTATAATAGATATATGCATATGTATATGTATCTATGTGACTATATGTACATATATATGAATATATATATAATAAAGCACTTAGGGGGCACAGCTATAACATAACCAAACACCTCATGGAATTGTATTTTAGGTTTGAAGGATTAGGACCTTAGTCAACTGGCATAATATAGTTCATAAAGTTATGTTCTACATCCTCATTTGGTAAGTAGTGTCTGCGGTCTTAAAAGTTTGTGAACAGCCATCTAAGATATAACTGTTAGTCTCTAGTCATCTGGAGCAAAAGAAAAAGAAGAAAACCAAAAGTCTCAAAGAAGAAACTAGTCTACAGGGCAAACAGTCTACACAAACCAAGCCTCACCTACACTGAGACCAGAAGAACTAGACGGTTCTACCTGGCTACACTACTGATCAGTCAAATCAGGGACACAGAAATGTACCCTAATATAATGGGAGAAAAACATGGAACAGAAACTCAAATTCCTACCAAAAAAAAAAAAAAAAAAGAGGTGGAAACTGGAAAAAGTAGGTACCATTTCAAATTTTTTGAAACATTTTGCCTAGTTGCTCTCCAAAAAGATTTACCAGCATGCTCATTTCTAATTCCTAAACCAACATTGTTGCTGTTGTTATGTGCTGTCGAGTCAGATCCGACTCATAGCGATCCCTCCTTGGGTTTCCGAGGTGGTATCACTATGGAAGTAGATTGCCCAACCTTCCTTCCAAGGAGTGGCTGGTGGGTTTGAACCACCAGCCTTCTGGCTGGCAGTCAAGTGCCTTAGGCACTACGCTACCAGAGTCCCTAAACGAACACTAGGTACTGTTATTCCTTCTCATGTTGGCCTAGTAATGGGAAAGAAAGAATCTTGTTTAGATTAATTGTAAAGAGTCTAAATGTCTGTCCTTTCAGCTTACAATGAGATATTCCAGCCTCTGTAGATAGACTACCTGCCTCATTCATATCTTCTCTGGAAGCAGGGATACAAACTAAGGGCTGTGGTTTTTAAAATGCCAAGTATAAGGAAGAGGCTGTCAGTCTTAATTTTTCTATCTCTTACTGAGTTCCAATGTATAATCTGAACCAAGTCAATAAATAAATTAAAATAGAAAATCAAAGAGCTGACACAAGAAAACTGGCCCTGGTTCTTTGTTTAGCCCAAAATGGCATTTTAAAAACTGCAGCATGGTCATCTGAGATAGTGACCTTCCACATATATTGAGAAAAAAATTGTTAATTTTATTAGGTGTGAAAATGGCATTGGGGTTATGAAGTAATATCCCTTTATTTTTTTTTAAATGCATTATCTATCTATAGTATATATTGGGTACGGCATTGGTTGCTAACCAGAAGATCAGCTGTTCAAACCCACCAGCTGTTCTGCAGACCAAGATGAGGCAATCTACTTCTATAAAGATTTAAAGCCTTAGAACCCAATGGGGGTCATTATGAATCAGAATTGACTTGATGGCAGTCAGGCATAGTGTATATAGTATATATAGTATATATACTATAGTATATAGTATATATAGTGAGATGTCAAGATTTCAAACACTAGATATGTTGATGTTGTATGCCAATGAGTGGATTCTGACTCACAGCAACACTACAGGGCAGCACAAAACTGCATCAAGTTTCCTAGGCTATAAATATTTACAGAAACAGATAGCCAAGTCTTATTTCCCACAGAGCAGCTGGGTAGGTTTGAACTACCCACCTTTTGGTTAGTAGTTGAGTGTTTAACAATTGCTCAAGGCTCCTTATGCTAAATATGCGTAAGGAGAGCATTTAGGCTGCAATAAGCATCTCAAAGCACTTAAAATGATTGTTAATCACTTTTCAGTTCTGACATACCACTCTATTTGGGAACTACTAGAACTGAGCCCAGCTTGGCCTAAGAGGAATGTAATGGTTCGTCTCCTCACCACCACTTGGAGTTCTCTGTTTTCTTCCTCTGCTCTCACCCTCTGCTCCTCCGAGCATGCACCTTCAGTGTATCTCTGTTAGTGAGCTGTTACATTTGTAGTGTTTCTCTTCCCTGCTAGACCATAAGCTCCTCAAGGACAGAGCTCATCTTTATTGTCCAGGTCCTGACATACAGTAAACCCTCAAAATGTATTTATTATTGAACCAAATTCCATTCAGTTGCTAATCGATATCCCTTTACCATTCATTTCCCGGTCCCTCTCCACATGATGGTCACCACTCTCCACATTACGGCCAGTTATCTTTCTAAAACTTGGGTCTAATTATGCTATATTGATATATGCATATATTTATAACTAAGATTAATTTAGGTGGATAAACATCATTTAATCATCTTCTAAAGAAAAATTCTTCTCTTCATGGTGAAATCAGTTCAAGAAAAAAATCTTGAGGATTGATGTGAAAGATTTTCTGCTCCAGTCTTGTAGAAAACAGTCTGTTTCTCAGTACAAATTGCTGTCTTTCATATGATTCTTAGCATTTCTGTGTGTTTAAATCAAGTAATAAATAGGTAATTTTCAGTGTTTCTTAAATGATAAAATTGGCTTTCTCTTGGACTTACAATAAAAGAGTCCTCATCAGTCTGTTGTTTTATGTAAACCATCTTTTCATTTTCTGTCCCTTCCAATCCCCTTATCAAAATAGTATCCCCTAGTTCTTTCCTTGATTAATAACAAATGCTATCTCAAAATGAGATTTTACTTTACAATAATTGTAAAACTATTTGTTGTTTCTGATTAATGTCAATAAAAGCCTAGTTAATGCACACATGTGAATTAAATGTCTTTATACGTATCTACGATATTCTTCCACCACTCATCAGTCAGTTTGTCATACACCTTGCTGTGAGGCTGGAAGCTATGCCATCAGTATTTCAAACACCAGCAGGGTCACCTACAGTGGACAGGTTTCAGCGGAGCTTCCAGACTAAGACAGACAAAGAGGAAGGATGTAGTAGTCCACTTCTGAAAACAATGGCCACTGAAAACCTTATGAATAGCAGTGAAACACTGCCTGATACAGTGCCAGAGTATGAGCCCCTCAGGATGGAAAGCACTCAAAATACAACTGAGGAAGAGCTGCCTCCTCAAAGTACAGTCAACCTTAATGACATGCATGGAGTAAAGCTTTCAGAATCTTCATTTGCTGATGTGGCTTGACTCAACATGAGAAGAAACAACTGCAAACATCCATTAAAATCTTCACAACTAGACTAATAACTAACATCATGATAAATGGAGAAAAGATTGAAGTAGTGAAGGATTTCATTTTACTTGGATCCACAATCAATGCCCATGGAAACAGCAGACAAGAAATCAAAAGTCATATTTCACTGGGCAAATCTGCTACAAAAGGTCTCTTTAAAGTGCAAAAGAGCAAAGATATCACTTTGACGATTAAAGTGCTCCTGACCAAAGCCACAGTATTTTCAATAGCCTCGTATGCATGTGAAAGCTGGACAATAAATAAGGAACACTAAGAAGAATTGATGCTTTTGAATTATGGTGTTGGTAAATAATAATGAAAATACCATGGACTGCCAAAAGAATGAACAAATCTGCCTTGGAAGAAGTACAGCCAGAATGCTCCTTAGATGTGAGAATGGCCAGACTTATACTTTGTTGTACTTTGGTCATGTTATCAGAAGGCATATCCCTGGAGAAAGATTTCATGCTTGGCAAAGTAGAGGGTCAGTGAAAAAGAGGAAGACCCTCTACAGATGGATTGAAACAGTGGCTGCAATGATAGCCTCAAACAGCAACAACTGTGAGGATGGCACAGGAGAAGGCAATGTTTCATTCTGTTGTCCATAGACGGTCACTATGAGTCAGAACCAACTTGACAGCATCTAACAACAACAACCGTATCTGTAGCATTTTTAATAACTCTTATAAAATAACTGTTGGTAAATTTAAATTTCCCCAACTAATTTACGGCACCTAACAGCAACAACAATTTTTCCCTACTACTAAAATATAGTGTAGTGCCTAAGGCACTTGACTGCTAATCAGAAGCCTGGCAGTTCAAACCCACCAGCCACTCCTAGGAAGGAAGGTTGAGCAATCTACTTCCGTAGTGATACCGCTTCGGAAACCCAAGGAAGGGTCGCTCTGAGTCGGTCTGACTTGATGGCACATAACAACAACAACAACTAAAATATAATTGCAAAAACATTAGATAAAATGAAATGTTTTAACTGATATCACTTTAAAGATATGCTCATGCTTTAATAGTACTAACATAAGGTGTTTCATAACTGAATCCTTGAATTTTCAAAAAGTTATGCTTCTGAGGTTTAATGTAACTAAAAGCATGCTTCTCATTTATTCTCATGATCAAATACCCTTAAGTAATATTTTACATTTGCTTTAATTCCACATTAGGTCTATGTAAATAGGTCTATGTATCATGTTTAAGTATAGGAAAATAAACTGTTTCATGAAAAGTTTTAAAATTTCTATTTTCAAAAATATACTACTTCAAATTTTAATACTCTAAAAATTCTTAAGTAAAGCCAGGTGTTTTGTCCACTAATCCCCCAAAACAAAAAAATAATATACCTACCAAAAAAGGGACAAATTTGGTTTATATCTTAGATAAATTTCATTTTATCATTCTACAAGCATAACTTTGGGTAAGATGCAAGAAGAAAACAAGGATCAAACCAGAAGAACTAGTAATGTCATAGTAAGTCAAAGGATTATGCTAACCACAATATTTAGATTAAATTATTCTGAAGGCAATATAATTAAAATAGATTTTATATTTGTAAATTTAGAATTTTGTGTATGTAAATATTAAACATTCTATTTAACCTAAAGATTAAAACACTGTTTTTAGTTATAGTGGCCCCTTTTAAAATGTTACAATGGACAATAAAAGATGTAACATTTCTTAAATATCTACATGGTTCTTACAGATTGACAAGGTTTGACAGCACAATCCCTTCTTCCACATTGATTGATATCATTCCAGAAAGGACATGGCCTCTTCAAGTTTACCTGAAAAATAAAAATAGAAAAAAAGTTATAAAAATGAGGATCTCGAGATTACAGCTGGCAGGTATAGAATCATGATTCTGTAATCTAGTCATGTTATTAGCTGCAGTTACTTCAATTCTTCCACTTACCTACTGTCAATTCCAATAATTATATAAACATGTAGCTGGTATAAGTAAGTTGATGGACTTCCTTAAAAAGACACAGACTGCTTCTAAACAGACCCTTAGCAAGTAGCTCATATCATCACCACTCAACTCACATTCTTTTTAAGCAAGTAATATTTAACAGGTAACAAGGCGGACAACTGTGAGTTCAGAATATAAATAAATACTCCATTAATAAGGTTTTCTAAACGCTTTCAGAATAAAATATCACAAGTTCCTTGTTAAAATGATGGGTCAAAACAGAGTCATACTTTACAAAAATTTAACTTACATACAGTCATGCTCTTCAAAAATTTAACTTAATTGTTTTCATTAACTAGATTCAATCTGATGTTTCAGAAAATTATAAACAATTCACTGTTTTGATAACAATATATAGTTTTTCTTCTTAGTTCAATTTAATCAACTAGTTCTAACTCTAGCGAAAATTCAGTCACTGAAATTAAATTAAATTAAACCTGTAACCAATGGGTGTTTACCATTCAGAATCATATGGTTCAATCTTGTGAAATGAATTTTCCACACAAAACCTCTTATCAATTTTATGTAACAGTCACAAATTAGAAGCTTAGTAGTTTTTAAGAAAATGTAATTATCCATTTAGACTTTAAGTATTCTTATACAAAAAAAATAAAAATAAAAAATACCTTATAATATCTAAAGTAGTCACTTTCAAGAAGTTTTTGCAGTCTTGGAAAAAGCTTGTAATTATTAAATCTATCAATGGTTTCCACATCACATGTACAATCATCCAGGTAACCACTAACCTGTTACAAAGAAAATAAAATATTAAATTGAAATTTTCTAAATGAACAGAATTCTTTTTTCCTCACATTGTTATTATGAAATATCCCCCAATTCAACCAGCTCTTATTCCCCCACCCCTTAAAATTCTCTGAGCTAGGGTATGATTAAGGCATCTGACTGCTAACCAGAAGGCTGGCAGTTCAAACTCACCAGGCACTCATCAGAAGGAAGACTAGGCAATTTACATCTGTACAGATACTGCCTCGGAAACCCAAGGAGGGGTCATTATGAGTCGGAAACAACTCAACAGCAGTGACTTTGTTTTTTTTTTTTTGGGGGGGGGGGGGGGGTGGAATCTTTATAGAGGCAGATGGCCAAGTCCTTTCTACTGTGGAGCAGCTGTTAAGTTCAAAGCACTGATCTTTCAGTTAGCAGCCAAGCACTTAAATCACTGTGCCATTAGGGCTCCTCTATCTACCAAATCAAACTATTCGATACACCTATACTAGGATGCAGTGGGAAATCATATTACAATCCAACAACATTATCACTAATATACTTAGATGTTTATTCAGAGCTATGCAAACACCAAACAGAATTCTGGGGTTTTTTTTTCTGTTTTAGATTTTTTTTTTTTTTTTTTGTGATTTGAGTGAAAGTATAGAGCAAATTGGTCTTCCATTCAACAATTCATAAACATTCTGTTTTGTGGCATTGCCGTGTAGTAAATTACATAATGTGTCTTTTCTAGCCATAAGTCTTTGTAAACTCCTTGGTAGAATATGCCATGAACAACTGAGTAGCTCCTGATTGTTAAAGTTATCCACCTGGGGTATTTTTGTTGGAAGCAGCTAGAAGTAATTTCTGAGAAGTTTGTTCTCTCTCTCTCTCAGGTATTTGGAATTCTGATTTGGGGATTGGTTAGTTTGGCCTCTCTGCCAGGTTCAAAAGGAACTCTCCTAGAAGCAGATGGAATCTCTCATTACCAGATGAGGGACATGAGAGACATACATTGCTCTGAGAGAGACACGAGAGACACGCACTGCTGAGAGAGAGACTGTGGGCTGAGAGACGGCAGGCTGAGAGAGACTGAGCATGTTTCTGAACTTCAATTGTAGCCTGTTGCTTCCCTAATAAATTCCATAATCTGCAAGTTCTGTGTGGCCACTGCAGCAAATTATCACACCCAGCAGAGATGGATTGACACAGTGGCTGCAACCATAGGCCCAGGTATAGCAAGGATTGTGGAGCTGGCACAGGACTGGGCAGTGTTTCGTTCTGCTGTATAGGAGGCTACTGTGAGTCGGAGACAACTCAATGGCACCTAACAACAACAACAAAAACAAGCAGAGAGGTGGTGGGGGCTGCAGAAGGAACAGTTGGTGTCAGGTTTGGTAAAAGAGCTGGAGGGAGGTGGCATGTCTGGCCTCCCAGGGATAGGCCTCGGGCTACTGATGTTGATTCTGTCTTCCTCTTGTGGGGTTAGAGGAGGTCAGAAGATGCGGCCTTCTTGCCCCTTTGGCAGACATTTACTGCAATCCAAATAGAGTTTATTAAACATTGCTTTATGTATGTAACAAATACAGCATGATTCAAGAAGAACAACAAGAATTTTTTTTAAGTACAGAATGCTGCAGAAAAGAGATCCGTATCATACTTTAGTGGGAATATTTCCATTGTAAACTATGTTGCATTATGTTTGAGGGAGATCTACTATCAATAAATAAGTATATAAATAATCTACTGGTAAGGGAGCAAATAAACAATATTTAAATACTGAATTTAGATATTTCCCTTTGGACTAAGAAAAATCTTGCACTATTTTTTAATCTCAGACATCACAAAACAGTCCTGGAAATTCTCACCCAAGCAATAAGAACACTTCGGACGATGACAGCAAAATTCAAGGGCCAAGACTTTTTACTTATTAGCCTAGTCTTCCTTTGTTTTGGACAGCTAATTCAGTTTCTAGTCCCTGGGTGACACAATAGGTTAAGTGCTCAACTACTAACTGAGGGGTTCGATGGTTTGAACCCATGAAGAGGTGCCCCAGAGGAAAAGCCTGGCAGTCTGATTTCACAGCCCATGGAGCTGTTCCACTCTGCCCACATGGGTCTCCATGAACTGTAATTGACTCAACTGCAATTGGTTTGGTTTGGTTTTGGTTTAATTAATTTTTTCAGAAATCAGATCTATATATTTTGTCACTGTAATAACTATTTACATTTCTAGGCACATCTGCCCATGTTTCCTTCTAAAAATTCTCTGAGTATACAATAATCTTAGAGTTCTAATCTTGGATACCAATAACACAGAAGTGTTTTTATCCTAGGCAATTTGATTTTTCACACCTCTTTATTTTTAGCCTTACAAAAGAACTTCTAAGGCCATAAAATAGTTACTGTTTTTCCCTTTTACACAAATTAAAGGGACAGATACCAATGGAGACAGTCAATCAAAGAGAAAAAAAAAAAGTGGGTGGGAAAATTTGAAGCAGTTCATTTTTTTCCCTGAAGAATTCATCTTTAAGGTAAAAAATTTATCTTTAAAACTCAGCTTAGGTGTCCCCTCTCTCAGAAAGCTGTTCCCCAGGTGCCACCCACCACCTGCTGGGTAAACTACCCCTCTTGTCCCATGACACTTCACATACCACTATGTAAGACTTAACCACTGTACTGAATGTATCTATTTCTCTCCCGCCCACTAGACTACAAAATCCTTGAGTGCAAATCGTATCTGTTCATCTTTGTTTCCCCAGTACCTAGCACTATACTTCTAGAAAGCACACAGATGTTCAACGAATGCTGCCCACTGTTACTCAGCATTACTGGAGACCAGCACCACACTATCTAATTGCACCTGGGTACAGTGTTACATATGGTGGTGCTTAGTGCCACAAGGATAAGTGGCAAAAATGCATTCATATAGCAAGTTAGGGAAGCAAGCTTTAAATAACCCTTTGCACCCAACATTCTTCCTACCTCTTTGACTGCTAACCAGAAGGGTAGCAGTTCAAACCCACCAGCCACTCACGCCTTGGAAGGAAGGTTGGGCAATCTACTTCTGTAGTGATACCATCTCAGAAACGCAAGGAGGGTCACTATGAATCGGATCCAACTTGACGGCAGTGAGTTTGGTTTTTTTGGTGTATTCTAATTACAAAGGTATAAGAAACCCCAATCTAAAAAGGAATCCAAATGTCTCCACAGTAGGGGTAGTTTATCACTAAGAAAATTCAAAGAAAGACAAAGGTGGGACAATGTTAGATCTAAAATTTTTCGGCCCCTTACCTTAGATAGGAGGTACTCCCAAACACCACTAGAGAGAGCGGGGCAGCTAAGGAGGCAGAATAGAAGTGGCAGGTGTTTCAACAGAGTGCAGCAAAGGAGAGATAGCTAGTTAGAAATCCAAGCCAAGTGACAGTTCAAATAAGCCCACCAACATCAGTAGAGCCTGATCCCCAGAAGGAAGTCTGGCAGGTGTGATGCCAGGCCCAATTCTAGAAACTAGAAAACCAGGTACATTACCAGAATAGAACCTCAGGAAAAGACTACAGTAGAAATCTAGTTAATAGACTAGGAAGATTTTTGGAAACAAAGCAAAGTCCTATTATCTGAATTAAAACCAAAAGGCAGGCACTGACTTGCAATGAGGATGACTTGATACTTAAAGTGTCCTATAGAAATAGAATTCTGGCCCTACCATAGGAATCTACATGTTTAAAAAATGTAGACTTCCCTCCCCCAAAATGATTCAATACATGCTAAAATTTGAAACCTACTTCTAGGTTTCAGGCAACAATTAAGTTTTGATAGGGCCAGGCTAATAGGTGGAGATTAAAAGACCTTGTTTAAAGGATGGCAGACATAAGAACCAAGCTAGGCTCGATACATAACATAACTCAATTTAAACCAATTTAAAATCGTGGTTCCTTAAGAGTTGAAAAGCTTTGAAGGAAGGCCTTATATTCAACCTCTCAAGTTATACAGAAATCTCCTCCAAATACTCCTTCAAATAAAAGGAAGTGTCTCAGTTCTCTAGTGCTGCTATAACAGAAATACCACAAATGGATGGCTTTAACAAACAGAAATTCATTCTCTTTCAGTTTAGGAAGCTAGAAGTCCTAGTTCAGAGTGCCAGCTCTAGGGGGAGACTTTCTCTCTCTGGATTCTGGGTGGAAGCCCCTTGACCTTGGGCTTCAGCTCTGCCTCCCAGGGCCACTGGAGCAAGCTGGAGGTGTCTCCTGATTCATGCAGCTGCTGGCTTCTTAGGCTGATGAATCCAAGATCACCAGACAAATGGCAAATTGTTGGCTCACAGATTGCAAAGGCAATAATCCCAAAACCGACAGGCAACATGGCAGGTTTAAGTCCAGGAACTGGAGATGATGATGGGCCAAATGCAGGATCCAAAATACGCAAAAAGCTAGAGACCTTTCCCAAAGCTTTTCCATATATACTGGACATAGATCACACCCCAAAGGCAATGCTCCCTCAGCTAATTAGCTGCTCACAGCTTTCTACCATGTAAGTGATTATTGTTGTTATTGTTATATGCCATCAAGTCAGACCCGACTCATAGCGACAACTCCTTGGGTTTCTACTATGGAAGTAGATTGCCCCATCTTCCCTTCGAGGAGTGGCTGGTGGGTTAGAACCGCCAGCCTTCTGGTTAGCTGTCAAGTGCCTTAGGCACTACACTACCAGAGCTCCTTGTAAGTGATTATAGCACATCTAATCTCATCATGGAGAATAACTATATCCAGCTACCAGGTCACTCAAAATAACAGCCAAGCCAAGCTGACACACAACCTTAACTAGCACAGGCAGTATATGACAGCAGTTAGGCATGTAAGCTTTAGAGTCAGATCTTCTTTGGTATGAATCCCACCTCAACCACTTACTAGTTATAGACCTTACCCAAGTCATTTAACCTCTCTAAGGTCTCCTACCTGAATTCAAATTAGAAATAATAATAGTTCCTATAGCGAAGAGTTGATATCAGGACAAAATGATACAGA